TATTCCTCGGTGGCTTGAAGAGCTGCGGAGCCATGCCGACAGGAACATCGTGATCATGTTGGTTGGCAACAAGACCGATCTCGAGGACCAGAGAGCTGTAACCACGGAAGATGCCCGAGAATTTGCTCAGAAGGAGAACCTCTTCTTTCTGGAAACCTCGGCACTCGAAGCGACGAATGTCGAGAACGCCTTCCAAACTGTGTTGACCGAGATCTTCAACATCGTCAACAAAAAGAACCTGACATCCGACCCTCAGAGCAACAATGCCGCACCTACGCAGCCAGGAAAGAAGATCATCGTCCCTGGCCCGGCTCAGGAGATACCCACGAACAAGACATGCTGTAACACTTCCTAAGTTTTGTTTCCTTGTGGTAGTTTGTGTGTAGAGTTGTCGTCCGTAATTGCTATATGTCTTCTTGATTGGTAATATCTTAGCGGAATTCTGGATTTGGTAAGAATTGATTCAGTTTGTGTCATTTCATTTCGTTGGATCAGATTGATTGAATCTTAGTAAATTGATAATACAAAATTAATATCCAAATGCATGTTTTTTTTTTTAATAAAATGAATATGGAGATAAAGAATATTAAGATAGTTGTCTGAGTTAATAAAAAAAAGATTTTGAACCAAACCAAAACCAAAACCAAAACCAAAAAAAAGGGTTTCATCATTTCGAAGTGTCTTATCGCCCAAATCCTTGGGCCGTCATCACCATCATAATTGCCCATGAGTTGCGATTGTAGCTTCCTTCTTCGTCGGTCGTCAGGCCTTTCCGAGTCGATCTCTGTCCTACGACATTTCCCAAGGAACCCGACTATGCCTCTAGGGAGTGCTCGCCCAAGGAGGCACTCACTGCTGGGGAGCTCATAATTTAGGTCGCCATGGCCGACCTCTGGGCATCACTAACGCCATCGTCTATATCATGAACTACATCTTGCTACTAGTCATCCTCCCTCATTAACTCCCCCCGTCGGACGCTAAGACCCTTTCCTGCTTTCTTCTTGGACACATCGTCCTTCATCTGGAACCAAACCTAATTGTCCTTCCGAAACTGACAGTTCCGCTGACAACGCAACCCACATCTTCATCTGAATCCAAACCTAATCGTCCTTCCGAAACAGACAAATCTGATTCCAAAACTAAAACCGATCCGAAAACATAAAAGAATAAATTATTATCATTGTTGTTATTGTTGTCGTGTATTTTTCTTTTATTATGGTTTTAAAGTATTTTTCCTTCTTTCAAATGCACTGTTATATTTATCTTTCAATTCCCAGCAAAACCAAAGACAGCAAAACAATCGCAGTTCTACACGATTAAGCCACTTCTATCAAACCAAGCGTTGGAAGCTGACAGAAAGCAAATTAAATCTTAGATCCCATATCCAAATTGCAAAAAACATCGAGCAAAAATTTAGAAGCAAGATCCAGGAAGAAAATAGAGCAATCAATCTTTGTTGTCCCAGACACAAAATCTGGTACTGAACTTCAGCTACTTCTCTCGAGAAAAACTTAATCTAGGCTGCAAGCGATGGCTTCGAGGCAGCAGAAAGCTTGGACCTCCTCTTGGCCAAGCTCTCACTCCTGCGCTCCCTCTGCTCCTTGAGCCTGGTCGCAAGTAGCTTCTGGTACTCCGCAGCTTCCGACTTGGCCTTGGCGATTCTCTTCTTCTTATCCGCAATCCTGGCACGCTTCCTCTGTAAGGTCAGCGGAGTCACAAGTCTCTGAATCTTGGGTGCCTTGCTACACTTCTTGCCTGCAATGAGTATAAAAAACCTGATCTCAGCTTCGACACTTCCAAACTATCTCATTGAGGGTAACACTAGTAGGCCAAGAAGGCATTCTGCAGCAACCCAATGAGAAAATACTGCAGATGGCTAAATCCATGAGTCTTTTATATTCATGTTAACACGATCTACATCGAAAAGAAACAACACAAACAGTTGCAAACTGGCACCTTCTAAGCACTACATACAGACATGTAATCCTGAAGTTGACAATCTTCTGCTACTTAGTATGATAGACAAAGCCTTGATAAAACTCCAACAAAGATGGTTGCAAATGCAAGAACTACAGATAAACAAGCAAAATCAAAATAAGCACTGATGTTCTATGGTGACTAATAATCTGATAAAAAATAAATAACACAAATATAACTAATGTTCTGATGCATTATTACATCTACCTTGCCGACAAAATCTAGGGAAAAGTTTGCTTTGTGAAGAAAGTCAAGATAATGTGCTAATAAAAAAAAATACTGGTTAACCTAGCTCAAAATCAGTACCATATTAACTCATGAGATGACCAAGACTATGTAACAATGATAAGAGTATAAAATCTACAAGCAAAGTATGGTACTATCCGACTGCACCTGATTTTGTTGTGAAAGTTCGGCGGTATGTGTTCACATACTTGCGAACATCGTCCTCCTTCGAAAGGTTGAATAGTTTGCGAATTTTGGAGGCCCTCTTAGGTCCCCTCATTCTAGGCTTCTCAATGTCAGTCAATCCTGGAAGATCATTCTCACCCTTCTTCACAATAACTAAGTTCAAAACCGACAGATCAGGGCTAACAATGCAACCACGAACTGACTTCCTCCTGCGCTCTCCATTACGTCTACCATACCCACGGAAGCAAGGTGTACCTTTGACAAATCAATCAAAATAAGAAACTATGTAGGGAATAATCAACGTGGTTGTAAAAATCAAATTAACATATTATTACCTCTGTGCAGCAGCAGGCGGACCCGTCCAGGAGTTAGCACTCCCTGCTTCATTGGAAACCCCTGTTTGTCACATCCTCCCATGATTTTGAAAACATAGCCTTTGAATTCCTAAAAAAATGCACATATCTAATAGTTTTATTCTTGTAACCTTCAGAATGGTATTAAACTGAGCTTTCCCAAAACACTTCCAATAAATTTGCAGCTAAAACATACCTCACCAAGAGCATCCCCGCTGACTTCCTGAGAGATCCTCTTGTCAAAAAATGCTCGACTGTGCAACAAATTATATCACTGTAAGCGTTTGTTCATTATAACAGAATTTACCCCTACGCCCCACATTATCTTAGCTCATGAAGAATTATAAATGCTTTCATAGCTCAAACTAAAAAACAAACAACACCAGTTACATGTCAAAAGACAAAATCAGATATTACTTAGCTCAGGAAGCTGAGGGAGTAATTGTTCAATTGATAATGTGAAAATATAATGATACAACTATCACATAATCACACTATAATAGAAAAAGCAGTACATTGCACAAAGTTTTACCACTACAAGGTCGAAGAAAGTGAGATGGTGTGGCCTTGCATGGTGATTGTTTCAACCATGCAAATTAGTGGCACCTAGGTCAACAACATAGTAACCTCATAATTGCATCAAGGCCCACACTCCATAATACTTCAAGTCTTCAAGTAACTTGCAAAAAGCCACCAATTAACTAAAATATTTGTGAATGAGATCACATCAAATGCATTCATCACATTACAAACAGCAAGAAAAGTGTCTGACCCTGATCAACCTATGGCTTCTAACTCAATGCTACCCTTTAAACTAAACCTAAAATGAATTTGAAGACCCAATCAGTCTTCCAATCCTATGCAAAGAAATAACCACGCTCGACAATAATAACATACTGCACCAAATAGTGAATCCATTTAATACTACCAACATATCAGGTTCCCAAATCAAAGAAAATATCATTCTCTTTATAGTCACTCAAGCAATTACTTAACCAGTCGTATATGTTCGATAAATCAGTAATATAGATCATTACCTCATTCAAACAATAATTTTGACCATATGAAATGAAGAACAATGACCATTCTTATCAAGAAAAAAAATTGAACTCGTAGAACATTCAGATGTACAAGAATGATGCGGAACATAAAACATATAACTCCCAATTCTACGAGATCTTACAGCTTCTGGTCGTCATCGATCTCGAGCTTCTTCTGGCACCCGGTGGTCGGATTCGCAATATTGAACTGAAAAGAATGGCACGAAACCAACGTTTGAACAGATCAGAACCTCCTAAATGAGCTCAAAACTAAGCATATAGGAAACGAATCAGCTGTCTCGAGACGTACCTTCATCCTGGACGAAAGAGGCTGCCTTCCTTGCCTCCACGAAGCGGGATTGAGAGAAGAACCGAAGGCTCTCTCGAAGCAACTCCGCCGTTAGGGTTTCCCCGTGTGCTCTCTCGAGCGCTCACAGCTCCTTTTATAGTGACGGTGGGAGCCATTCGAAGGTAGAGCTCCCTTGGATCTAGACCGTTCGTATCTTCATCTGATCGATTGGCCTCTACCGTTTGATCATTTACATGTAGAGCCCAGGCCACTGGTTCGAGCGCCGGCCGACCCAAATCGGTCTACTCGATATGATTCGAGACCCGACTCGGCTACATATCGAACCGAACCAAACCGCTCTACACCCGATTGCCATGAAAAATAGGTCATTTTATTTATAAAATTGCTATAAAATTTTATTTTTATGAATGGGAATAAACATTATTTGATTATAATACTTGCGCATGATTTTAGGAAAGTTAATATAGCAGAAAAAAATTAAAAGAAAGTTATTCCATGAAAAGTTTTAAACCTTAAATATTTATTTACATAGCCACCTTTTTTACATTTAGTATTAATTATCAAAGAATAAAAATTATTAAGACAAAAATAAATAAGAAAATAAATTTTACCAATGGGACTTCAGGAGGCATGTCATTAACATGTAAATTTCAATGCATATGAATCTTTTTTATTTTCTACACCCATTTTAAGAAATAATTATTTCTTTTCATTTTATTATACTGCATATAAGATGTTCTTACAAGAACTAAACTATGAGACTTACATAGTATTACTGTTTAAGATAAGAGAAGAGGCAAGAGCAATATGTAGTCAACCAGCTTTACTTAATCTTGCACAATCAAAATAAAACCATAAAATTTCAACTATTTGAGATCAATTTTATGGATATTTTACCATCGTTGAGATTGAAAAACAAGCCCCAATACATAGATGTTTTTTTAACATTTATGTCTCTTAAAGAAAACTAAGGATTTTACAATACAAGCATGAAAAATACATCACAACATATTACTCCGAGGGCATAAAATACACACTCTCTCTCATATAGCGCACACAAAATCTCCACTGGTTTCAATATCATCCATATCTTCATCCAAGTCATCCAGCTCTAGACTTCCACCACCAACAAAGAGGCCAAGTATAGGAGAAACCGCGGCAGGCTTCCGTGCCTCTTGAATTATGGCCATGATTTCTTCGATGCTTTGCAATCGATTGTTCGTGTCAACATTCTGCATACCCTTTTGATGTTCATCAGCAAGCTCAATCGGCAGATTCATCATGAACCAGGGGTGCTTCTTTATCTCTGGAATAGTTATCCTCTACAAGAAACCAAAATATGTATAAGCAAATCTAATGTGACATTTTAGTGGCTGTCTCAATTTCTCGATACATATTACACCTAATGTGCTTCTTTAGCTCAGTTAAAAGAAGGGGGAAAAAAACTACTGTGTTTTCTTCTCGCTTCTTTTATCTCTTATTTCTCTAATTGAAATTTTCTTTTCATTTTTCAATAGCAATTATTATTATTATTATTCTTTACATTGTATTATAGTGAGTAAATTTGTATCTCTGATTTACATTTCACCGGTGCAAATAAGTGGGCTTTCATCCACCACCATTATTTCACGCATTGCACGCACTCCAAACAAAAAATTTGGTCCACTAATTTGATGGCATAGCTTATGATGGCTTTGTCATGCTTAAAATTTAATTAAGAATATTGCTTTTTACCAAACTCAAAGGTGAAAAAAGAACAATATAGCTATCCCCAAAGAGTTGGGACATTTATGGTTTCTTGTTGTCAACGTAGTAGTTAATCATGAGTCAACATCTATAATCATATTATTTTGTCAATCTTCACTAATCCATTGATTTCTGTAACAAAAATAATAGGCCAACACAGCAGTTTGAGTGTTACCTCTTCAGGATTTGGTACGAATATTCGGGATAAAAGATGCCTGCATTCCATGGAAACTTGCACATGGTCCGGTATCGTGTACTGGACAGTGAGAATCCTCTGACCAACAAAAGATTTGGCTTGAGCAAACACTTACACAGAAAACTGAGACAACTTAAATGGCAACAATGAACCATTAGAACACATAGAGATCAAAACCTTATAACCAGGTAAAACAAATCCATTGATAATTATGGCCAATTAGTCCGAAGAAAAAAAAATCTGGTCCAATATCAGGGTCATACCTAAATACCAATGCAACTAGACAAGATCAGCAGCTTTTTAAACATCTGTTAACGAGTACTCACCACAATTGTCTTCCTGAAGTTCTTTGGATCACTGGGATCCCCAAAGGGATAAGCTCCAACCAGCATCACATACAAAGTCACTCCACATGACCAAACATCTGCAATCTGGGGTTTCGCCAACGACTTCATCATTAGCAGCAATGAGTCTCAAAACAATGTAAAAGGAAAAAAAATGAACTTACTTTTCCGTCGTATTCTCGTTTGGATAGAATCTCTGGGGCAATGTAAGCTGGTGTTCCAACTGTTGATTTTGGTTGAGAATGCAAGAGAGAGGACTACAGGATCCGAAAGAACCTAGTTATGCTTTTCATTGAAAAAAATTGGCATGTGAAAAGTAGGTAGGTACCTTGGAGTAACCAAAATCACAAATTTTAAGACGAGGTGCGCTGCTATCATCCAGGAGAGTGTTCTCTAGTTTAAGATCACGGTGACATATTTGCTGCAGTGCGAAGAACAAGGACATTATCATGATGTACAAGTTGTTTGAAGTAAAAAATCACTGTAGGACAAACACCAATCTGCACCATGGAATGGCAATAGCTGACTCCAGAGATCAGTTGTTGAAAGAAAAATCTAGCCTGGCAAATTTCATGAGACCACCAAATTAACCGATTAGACACTAACATTTATGTACGAACTATTCGATCAACAAAATGGCCGATTCAGCAATTTCTACCTCGTCTTCGGTGAATTTCCCTGCATTGCATATCTTCTCGAAAAGTTCACCACCAGCTGCATATTCCATAACAATGGCTAGATGTGTTGGCGTTAACAAGACCTGAGAGTCAATTCTGGTTAATTTTGGTCATATAAGCAAAGACATAGCCATTGTTAAGTTTTTGGTTGATAAGAAATCTTAGCATGTCAAAAGATAAAAGACTTATAAGAACACGACAATGGGTACCTCTTTGAATCGAATTATATTTGGATGCTTCAGTGATCTGTGATTCATGATCTCCCTCTGAACATGCTCATCAATCTGTCATTAAACAAGCATGCGGAAGGCACATATATGAAAGAGGAAAAGCTCAGCATCAAAAGGAACTGATGAGAAATTAGAAACCAGTGAGAATCTAAATCTAGAACAAAATCAGCTAATATGTAGGCAATCCAAGTAAGAACAAACTGCCCAAATTCAACATAGATGACATAAGACTATCACCAACCTGGGTTTTCAAATTGGATTTTTCAGATGTCTCTCATAAAAGAAAAAAAATGAACTAATCAAACCACAAAAAATTATAGCTGAAATTGTATTTTATATTGCATAGAACATGTCCAACAATATGTTAATTCTATTGATTGCAGTCAATCCATCGAAAAAAAGCTTAAGCCGGTAGATGAGATGGGATCTGTTCATTTATATTCTTTAACACTTCTGATCAATACGCTGTCAATCCATCTAAAAGCTCGAGCCAGTAGATGAGGCACGATCAATCCATTTCCATTCACAATGAAAACAGCCGAACAATAAGAATCAGGAAGAAACTGGAGATGAATTGCCTAAAAATTATGCACCAAATAGAACTAAGAAGTCGCCTAAATGCAATTTTGAAGAAGAATCCAAGAACTACACAATCAGAGAAACCTTGTGCCCCCTCTCAAGGAACTTCACAGCAAAGAGCTCATTGGTGAGCACGTCTCTAACCAGCTTGGCCACTCCGAAGTTACCAGAACCAAGGTCTCTCAGCACCTCATACCGCTCCATCCTTCTGACAGACAACAAAGCTACTCGTTGCCTTCGCCTGCTCTTCTACCAGAGCGGAGGGATACGGAGGAAGAAGGGGACGAGATGAGCGGCGACCGGGAAGAGTGGCGTTCGAGAGAGGAACCCTTCGGTGGCACTGCGCATGGGAAGTGGAGCTGCGCGACTGTTAAAATATTCGTCGCTGCTGCTGCATGCTGAGCGCGGTGTTACGGTGGACTTGTCTCCGCACTACGCTTGCCCGACTCCAATTGCTCCCCCACTTCGCAAATCAAAAACAAAAACATAAAACGTAAAACATAAAACATAAAACATAAAACTTATATATATATATATATATATATATATATATATATATATAAGCCATTTGGGTCCAATGCACCGGAGAACAGCGACAAGATGTGGTTTTGCCATATCTCGCTGCGACCCCAAACCCCGACAAGATAAAAAGCCATAGCACGTCTAGTTGTTATCCCAAGCAATTATAGCTTCTCATTATTACATTTCGAATACTGTAACGTTACCAATCACCTCAACAATTGGATTCCGATACATTGAATGGAAAAGCATGCATACACATCCATCTGATTTGTTTTATTTATCCTTTTAATCTTATAATTTTTTATAATTAACGTATGCGTACAACCCTACAAAACCTCCTCTTCTTACAAAGATTTACTTTTTTTTTCTCTCATTCATCATTTTAATTTTTTTCTATATCATCTAAATGCATAACTTTTTACATATCTCGGTAAGAAATATATATAATTGATCCTATTATATTTTAATTATATATTATTATATAGGATAAACAAATAATAAATCTCAAAGAGAGGTGCTTGAGCTTTCGGATCCTCTCCGATTATTCTCTCGACCTGTTATGATCGGACCGCTCATATTGGATACATCAATGGGATGCACCGCGTACATGGCTATTGGAGGGTTTCTTTTGGAATTACGTTTGGAGATAATCCCCAACGAAACTTTTTCTTCTTCTTTAAAAGCCGCTTTTCCCGCTCCTTTTCTTGTCCTCCTGCCTCTTATTTCAAATCTGGTCTCTTCTTGAGTTCGTTGGTCGGCGGAGGAGGAGGCGACGGAGCAGATTACGGTGATGGTGGGGACGAAGGAGGAGAGCGTGTCCGAGGAAATGTTGGAGTCGATGGAGAAGGTGACGGGGGACCATGGAGGAGCGCGACCTCCTATCGGTCGCCTACGAGAACGTCGTCGGCACCATCCGCCCCTCGAATCGTCTCCTTCATGAAGCAGAAGGATCAGAGTACGGTAACGGGTCGGCGTCGCTGGATCCATGGCTACTGAGCCAAGATCCAGACCGAGCTTGGCATCCTCTGCCTCGGCGCTGGTTTGAGGTTTACAATGTCATGAAGTGCCACGACCGACGCCTACCCGGCCGTGTTCAAGATCGGCTTCGGCCATAGCTACGCCGCCTACAGATCCGTCCAGGTACTTACTCGTTCGATCTCCTAGCCCATCCGAGGCGTCGTGTTCGTGGCTGATCCAATCATGATTGCGATCGCCTTATTTTGTCATCAGATCGCAGGATCGAATTGCTTGATCTTACTTTGTTACCTAGATTTTTATGATTTCTTGATATTTGATGTAGGACCTCAGGGCTAGATAAGACCATGCTTATTCTTGGGGACATTGGGATGTTAAGTAGATTTTTCTGATTTCTTGATATTTGATGGAGGATTTCAGGGCGAGATAAGGCCATGCTGAATCTTGGGGACATTGGGATGTCGATCTGGCAGTCGCTTGCGAACCTTGCAATAAGATGATGCTCAAGATGACCGCCTATGCATCCAATCACGTTGAGGCTGTGGCACAACTTTAAGGTGTTACATCACTCTGCTGTCAAATCCGTTGATCATTCAGGAGAAGCACATCTTTAAGGTGCCAAGTGTTTTTATTGTCGTATGTTGGATCATCAATGTTCTGTTTCTTGATTTTGCTAGTTACCACTGCGTAGATCACTATGCTAGTCTTTTTCAATCTAGTATGTGCTTATCCTGTGACTAATCTCTTGTTTGTGTTTGCGTTTGAGATCTAGAAGTTGTTAATTAAAGGGAGGCAAAAATGCAAATGTAATCAACTAACAATTCTGTTTGATATATATGTAATGTTGATATTTGATGCTTTGTGATGTCAACAAAGTAGTTTAGTTGTATATAGATATGTGTATTTATTTGAGACCGTTAAGCTCTGATTGACTTCTTATTTCTAAGACTTGAAGTTTTATATTTTTCAATCTAGCATATGCTGATCCTGTGACTAATCTCTTGTTTGTGTTTGTGTTTGAGATCTAGAAGTTGTTAGTTGTATGAACTCATGATGGCTATCTTACTCATTTTCTGACCGATCCCGTTAGGCATTTTACGGAGCAATTGCAGGGCTGGATATCCTAAGAGAGGAATGCTAAGTTATGTTTCATCGTGCCAGCACTGGAAGAATCCAATTCATTGTGGTGGATGTGTTTTCAATGGGAGGATGGAGGAAATGAGATTAAATAACCAACCAAACGTGAAACAAACAGTAGGTAAATTTCTTTCTTCAATCTCTTCAGTGTCTCTTAGATTCAGATTGTCTTTTATATGTGGTTCTCTATCATCTTTGAGTGCTCCATCTCTCCCATCGAATCTCTTTTTTGTGGTTTCTTTTGCATCAATAATTCTACTACCATTATGAATTTGAATTTGTGAATGATGCTCTATAACTGATTTGTTAGCTGGAGACCATTTTTTACGTTGCAATGACCTGTCAAGTGATTTGTACTGTTAAACACGGTATCATTTTTTGCGTTGCATTTATCTTCATCCTCTCACGTGCGGTTCATTGTGTTCTATGTTGATTGTTCGTGATTGTCGTGTCTTGGAATCTTTATGCTCAATCCACAATAATTCGATTGTGGTAATAACATGTCAACCCATTGCGGTTGGGATGGTAAAGCCAAAGAGATATGCCAATGATTTCCGAGTGATCCTATCATGAGATCAGGATTATATAATAATTCATTGCCCAATGACATCTGAGTTGATTCTTTTACTTGGAAGTTAGCTACTTTCACTCTGCGCATTGTAGTGGCTCGTATGGTATGATTTTATATATGCTGTACATCCTGTCTTGTGTTTGATCTAATGAGGCACTTATGGCAAAGGGGCTTGATTTCTTGGTGGTGGCTGTGCATGTGCTTTTTCCATTGGTTGATTATTCTTCTTGTTATCCTCATGTTTCTTAAATACTACTACATACATATGTTGTGCTCCTCAGTTATGATTAGTAGTGTCAACCTGGTGACGTTGGTTTCGACAATACCAGAAATGGAGCAGGCAGTGATCACCAAAACGTTTACTGATAACATCATATCAACAGACCTGGTCTCCTTGCTCGATCATCGTCAATGAGAAGAAAGTTTTCCCAAATGCCAGCGGCAATATCACAGTTACCTCAAAATACCTAAAGGAATTGTCAGAGCCTGACAGGGTGAGTATCGACACGCTGTACTGTTAAATAAAGATTGCTGAATTGGCCTATGTCCATTTCACTTTTATAGTCCAGCCTAATTTCACCAAGGTACGACATGCGAATCTATTCATCTGTTTCTGTTGCTGTGAAGAACTAAGTTTTATGTTCTTAAATTTGTTGTATATCCACGATCAAACAATACAGATAGCCCCCGTCCTGACATTTTTGGTGTGCTATTTTGCAGTATCTGATGGTGTACTGTAGATCGATAAATTTATTGAACTTCAGCAATCGACTGGATGCGATAAACACGTGGACGAAGCTATAGTTTTGTTCCATTCTCTGCTCTCCGTCCTGCATATATCTCAGGCCTTCAAGTTGGGTAACCTCTCCTCTCTATCTTCTCCCTATTTTAACATCATCAAATACAATTGCCAATTTGGGTTTGCAAGAAGAGTAGTGGGTTAAACTATGCGTTCCAGTACCTACTTTATCTTTTTTTCCCATGTTATGACTTCTCAATCCGGTTTCTTAAATTACGTTGACCTGCCTGGAAGGCGATGAGGATTACCTGTTCGGTTCAACTTTATCTTCCTTTTTGACAGGAAGAACATATATCTTGTCCACAAAGAAAAAATCCATAACAAGCATAATAAAAAACATCTCTGATCTCAATCGAAACTTCGATTCTAGTGTCTAGATCAAAAGCAGGTTATTTACAAGATCTCAACCTATCTCTCATATACCTTTCTCAAACACATTAAACACAAACTCTCTTTTAGGGAACGAACTGTCTATGCAATAAAAAAAAGGGGTGGCCGTAATACTAACAAGGAAACAGAAAACATAAAATCTTTGAACCAGGACCTTATTCCGACACCATTCTTTTTTTTTCCCTTTATCTTCTCATTGAATCGCACAGTTGGAAAATGAACGGGAAGGAAACATAGATCAGAACCTCGCCCACTTAGTAGCAGTCTTTATCTTTCATGGTCCTAGAATGTAATATCTTATCATCCACCTCTTTCCTCCTGTCAGATCCGATCAGCAGCTTCGACCAGAAGCTCCCTTCCTTTCTCCTCTTCTTCTCCTTCTCCTTTCCAACCTCTCTCTTCTTCCCGTTGTTCTCATCTCCTGGTCTTCCGATCATGAAGGCCAGCGACCGGCTCTTCTTCAGCGGCCTGTGCTTGAGGAGCCTTGCGGTGGGGAATTGATTGGGTGGGGAGGAAGCCGCAGAAGAGAGGTTGGGGTCTGGAGAAGAGGAGGTAGCAGAAGAAGCCAGAGTGGTGGAGGCAGAGGACGAGGCTGCGAGTTGAGACAGCCGATCCCTGAGGCAGAACGGGCACACCCCTTTGGACTGCCTATGCTCTGGGTGCCTCCTGCACCTCTCCTCTATCTCTGATCTCCCCATGATTTGCTTCTCTCTTACCGTCTGCAACTTTCTTCGATCTCTTATATCCATGGGAATTAACTCTCGTTCACATGCTCTAGAGAGAGCGAGAGCGAGAGCGAGAGAGAGAGAGAGAGAGATGAGGTGAGCTCCTAGGATTCTCCTCCTTTTTCATCTCTTTCCTAATTTCACTCGGTTCCTGGTCGTGCTTTGCCTGTCGATTATTGGGTTGCTGGCTTTATCTGGTGATAGATCACCTAAAGTGTGGAAAAAGAACATGGACCCAGCAGCCTAATTTGATTATCTTACACTCCAATGCTGACACTTTACTCAGCAAAGTTTGTAAGGGAGCATCGTATTTAATCCGGAAAATAAAGGTTTCCAACTCGGGGACTGGTCCAGAGAAAGTGGAGTGTCTCAAGATCTATCTCCTCGTTTGTCCTTCATCCACTGCAAACCGTGTCCATCTCATGGTTTGACATTTGACGAGGTGACCATATAAAATCTCATCATTTCTTCATATTCTTAATTATCTTCATGGCTTTTACTTGCAAATCATAGTTGATCTACACATTTAAGTTAGCCACGATATCATTAGAGTAATTGCGGAAATAAAATTATAAAAGAGTATGCATCATATTTGTTTTTGTAGCTTTACGCATTGTTTTATCCACCTTGTGGAACTTAATTACCCTATTCTGTCTGTATGAATTCCCTTTTTTAAGCCCTCGAAATCATATTACAATTATTATCATTGTTTTAACATCATCCCGTGCCATCTGAAGTCTGCGTCTGACCAATTAATTCTGGTTGATAGCTACATATTAACCATACAAAAAATCTGGTTCTGTCGAAGGAAGCTGGAGGCTCCATGGTTGATCAAGGCCGTCCTTGTCGTTGTCCACTGCAAGAACGGTCGATATTGCTTCAGCCGGCGTCCCCTTGGTGTCGTTTGTGATCGGACGGGAAGCATTCGCTGATACCCCCACCGATCTGGCTCTGCCTTTGCCGACACTAATCGGCATGCGACAGAATTCAGACAATGATAACGAAGGTAAGAAGGAAAACTTGCAATCAGATTTTCTTTTTCAACTAATTTCTTTCCATTACATTAAACAATCGACAAAAATATACAAGAAAAGGTAGTGGCTAATGTTAAAATACCTTTTTAGGTTTTGAGTAAGAGAAGATTTTAATTGACTTATAAGGATTAGTTGAATCAACTATGATTATCTTCGGATCAAACATTTTTGGATTGGTGACTTAAGTCCAATATGCCAATATATTAGTTATCCATCCATTAGATCCAATCATAATAAGTGATATAAGAATCTACCCATTGTGTGATTCCAGTAGAGAAATATTATCCGTAGATGAGTCTTATGTTTTGATCAGAAGGTATGTAAAAAGTGTAGAGTTATCATTGTTTTGAGTTGAGTTTCGCATGCATCCAGGTATGATTTGATTCTAAGATTATATTGCAGAAGATTTGTAATATCACACTTTAATTTCATATTAAAAGTGAGAGGATACTTCTTACGTTTATGAGGACTGTGTTGACATCCGAAGAAATGTTCCTGCAACATCCAATGGAGTACGTTGCGTTTAGCGTCAACACTTGGCTCAGTGCTTGCGGTTTCTTGTTTGATTTAGGACATCACACTCTAATTGGTCTAGAGGTGGGGGTGTGTGGATGAATGTGTTGTAATCGAAGAATAACAAATAAATTGTTAACTGTTTACGGTTACAGCTAATTTTCTTTTTTAAAGCTTCCTAACACGTGAATTATGGAGGCTGTAGGTTCCCATCATGCACGGACGTTTGGTACCCGGGGACCAGTCAGAGAGGCGCACGTGTAAGGAGCAGGACGGCTGGAGTGACAGCTAAGTTCCGTAAGTTTTGAAGTTTTGGTACGAGTATGAGACAGAATGTTACCGGTGGGTCCGATCCAATCTAAACACACACGCCAGAGAAAGTGACGGTTGGTCAGCTGCTGCTGCTACGGCCTCATTTCGCATCTGCAAAACTCACAGGTGTGCACATAGGTTGGGCCTCTCCTACTTTTGGAACATGCATAGGTGACCGTGAACCGAGCCTTCCACCCCCCCGACTGTGGTGGTGGCTCAGTTCGTTTGGGACTGCAGGCGTTGTCACCGGTTGTTGACAGCCAAGCTGGTGTTGCTACTTCCACATGGGGTAGGATTGGTAAATTACCCCTTCTCACTGTGCACCAGAGGGGTAATTTCTGTGACTTACGATGGGGTAGGATTGCTACTTCCACATTTAGCTTATTATTTAGAGTATTTTAAAAAAAATTAAAATAATTGACAATTCTCTATTCATATTTAAAAAATAATAATAAAATAATTTTACTATTTACCGTTCTTGATTTTATACTTGTTTCTTTCATTTCTTATATCTATGTGATCATCACCTATGCACTTTGTTGTCTATGTCATTTGTCGCTCCACCACCACCCCCACCCCAAGTTGATAGTTGCCCTTTCTTGTCGAAATGTCGATCCCTCTTTGGCCCACGCTTGTCATCAATTGTCGTTCCCTAAATTATACTCTCAACTCATGTTTCGATTTCACTCATTACCCTCTCAACCTTTTTTTAAGGAGGAGAGGAAGAAGAAGAGGGAGAATATTTATGTCTATTTTATAAAAAAAATAAATATTAATTTTTTTTTAAAAAAGAATATTATAAATAGTAAAAATATTATAAAAAATAATATCTTATTCGATGACCTTGGTAACATCTATCATACTTCCAGGACTGTCGAGCCCATTTGAACATTCAATAAAATAATGTGACTCTCAAATAATAAACAAAGACTCTTGCGAAAAAAAAAATGTTAAACCAATAAATACTGTAGGAGACCAAAGTCCAACAAAAATATGTTTTCTCCTGCTTTTTTAGTAATAATATCTATGTTGGATTGGACTTTAATATTGTTTGAGATGATTTTCGTGCGTAAAGCAATTTTATCCTCTATCATCATACGGCTGGAGAAGATTAGTGTCTAGAAATCCAACTATTACCGTTGGTCATTACTCTACTAGTGAGGTAAATTCATTGGAGAAACCATAGTTAGTCTCACAAAAAAATTGACGTCAATGTCTTGTTTTGTGGAGAGTTAACGATCACTTGGGTCACAACAAGACCATATGAGTGCACTTCGGATTGAATAATTCATCTTAGGTTAATGTTACTGTGGTGATCTCATCAGGCTGCGCTGATCGTGGGGTCTGCAGAGGAGTCTTAATATTTCAGTTAATCTGTAATCAATCTCTAATGAGATCCTATTTAGTATCCTATTGTTTGGAGAGTCGGAGAGACACGAAAGTGTGCAATTTTTATACTCTATTGTCACAAGGTTGCAGAAGATTAGTATCTATAGATCCAAATGCTATTTGATACCTTTTTGATCTAAGTGATATGCAAATATATCAATAGAAGCCACATATAGTCTTACACCTTAAAGAATCGACTTCATATAACCGTGTCAACTGTACAGACCACGGCTCTCTTGTTTCTGTGACTTGTAGAGAGTACATGGCTCACTTAGGGCTATTTGTGGATTCACAAATAGCTATAGAGGGCCACGATCAACTTATGAGAAATAATAATAATAATAATAATAATAATAATAATAATAATAATAATAATAATAAAATTCAACCGTTCAAGAAGTTTCAATGATACAAAAAAAAGGGGCACAGAGGAGGATTTGGCATTGTGTAAAGAATCCCCACCGTAGGCCACCCTGCTCTGCCCACTGCACATGGTTTTATTCTTTTTCTACTGTACACGATTAGGACAAGCAGGCCTCATAATTGCTATGTTTCTGTGGCAGTGACACGGCGAAGTTCAACGACAACTTCTTCGAATCTCAGCGATAGGTTATTGGTTAACGTGGCCATGATAATACCATCACTAGCTATTCTTCCATCTATCTATCTATACACAGCCAACAGTAAAAAGCCAGACTAGCTACCTACCTACCTACCTACCTATTCCTCCCTTTCTTTTCCCATGTGTATTATCTAAGAATATAAATCGATTAGCATGTCTTATCTAACATCTTAAGTTTTCTAGATTAATCAAAAAAACGTTGTTATAAAAAGCTTATCAAGATCATGCATTAGAAAAATATATTTTCGATCAATTTAAATATTACCTATTAGATTTGAGTGAAGTCATTCTCTCTTCCACCGCATTGGTGAGCATTTACCACCGATGCAGGAGCATCGAGTTTATCTTAATTTTGCCCTACTTTTACCCATTCCCTTCTTGTTTATGTGTAGGTGCAATCTCAAATTCTTTTAGAAAATATATATCACTAGTAATGTTCGAGAAATAAAGTAAATCATGATGTTCACGGAAATATAACTCTAGTCACCCATGAGTTCAAATAAGAATTTCAATATGGTTGTATATGTCATGACTCTATTAAATATAAAGTACTGAACTACTAATTGTGAAGAAATGAAAGATTACAAGTATAACCCTCTCTCAAATAGTAGTGACAAATACTACTAGTAGAAGATCTAAAACCATAAAGGAAGAATAAACCTAAGTGAAAATGAAAAATACTATATCGAACTTTCAAGATACTTAATGAAATCTTGAACTCCATCTCTAAACTTGAATAATCTAAGACTTAGGTACTCTACACCTGGGTGATTTAGGTATAGGATGATACCTTAATATATGACAAAATCATCTTATCTTACAATATTCACATTTATTTAGTTTTATAGAGGCTCCCCTATCTTATCTAATCAGCTTTTCTAAAATTCAATTTTATCAATTCCCTATGGAATAAAGCCCTTAAAAACTCTCCAAATGACAGCTTTAATTTTCGCATATATCACTGTACAGAGCCTCAAAATGTATAGAGACTGAACTACTTATATCACTGTAATTTGTCTTACCGTGCAACTTCGAGGTCAAAGGGGAGAACAATGATAGCCATTCTTTCTTGTAGGGAACTCCAAGAAACAATGGTAGCCATTCATAAACAGATGGCTTCGATCACCTTCTCGTCTCAAAGATTGCCTCAGCCTTGTGAGCCGACACTGCCATCGCTTGTGAGGCCTGACATCTTGCCATCTCAACCCTACTTTATTACTCTCCTCTCTGAACCACTCGTGGTCGGCTAATTAGAGATCGAACTCGATCGATGACTGATGCAATGCATCCATCTTCATTCATCGACATGAAGGACATCATCAAAAGGGTTGCAGAAAGATGGACTGCCGGTGCCGGGCATCCCGGACCGCATCAGCCGCGCAAGAACCGCCGAGCATCGGAAATCGATGCGCCACGCACAATCCGAAAGGAAAGCAGTAGCAAGAACGAATCATCCAAGAATCGGGAGAAACCCCCCTCCCGATCGAACTCAATCGACGACTGATGCAATGCATCCATGTTCATCCGCATGAAGGACATCATCGAAAGGGTTGCGGAAAGATGAATTGCCGGTGCGGGGCATCCCGGACCGCATAATCCGCGCAGGAACTACCGAGCGTCGGAAATCGATACGCCACCGGCAATCCGAAAGGAAAGCAGTAGCAAGAACGAATCATCCAAGAACCGGGAGAAACCCCCCCACTCCGCCGATCAAATGTCGCATCGGCGTTCAAGAAGTGCTAGATTCGAAACAAGATCATGTCGAACAACCCAAACTCCAACAGAAAGAAGGAAGACATGATGATCATAAGGAGAATAGGAGGAAGAGGAAGGGAAAAGGTTACGGAGGAGAAAGAGAGAAGGGGAGGGGGAGATGAGTGTACCTGATAGCGAACAGGAGGTGAGCAGCAGCGGGCGACGGCGATCGGCGGTCGTTGATGGCGGGGCGAGAAGCGTATTAGGCTCTCCGTCACGAACGGTGGCGAGAAGGAGGTTGGAGGAGAAGAGGGATGGCTGATCGAGTGAAAGACGGGCGGGAGGACTATTTGAGGGCCGGACGAGAGAGTTCTCATATGGAATGACCACTATGCCCTCAAATACCATTTACCACAATATTTTCTGAGAATGTGTTATGCACATATATTCTTATTTATTAGTATCACTCATGTCTACTGTCTAAAACATACTTCCTATATCTGCAATATGCAGTCCATGTTATAGTGGACTGCTTATCACACACACACAATAGCCAACTTTAGGTTTCGGTAAATGTACATATTCCCACAATAATATCTTCGATTAAATGAATAAGACAATGTAACTTCAAATCATCATTCATGCGAATGAGGTCAATGAAACCCTTCTGCAAGAGAAGGTTCTCTCCACACCAAGTTCCTTGTATCAGCTGTAAGAGCACAAGAAACCACCATGCAGCAATTTATGGATTTCATGAACTCTATATTATTTGCTCAACGTTCATTGTTTCAAAAGATTATAATCCTTAAACAATCACAGCACATACTAAATTTGATTGACATGCATTTTTCACACAAGTATATGTCAAAATTTAGTCAGAAAATCTTAAGACTTAAAACCTTGAGTTCAAACTTAAGTTCTTTAAGTTTACACGCATCACACATCTGGGTTTTCGACTAGTTCACGACCTACATTGACCACTACTATAATGCTGGGAGTTTATCCCTTTTGAGTCTGGCAATAATTTGTATCTCAGTTCACTTGTTGTTGGCTTCCGTAGAAAGCGTAAGCGCCATACGGTGGTAATACGTACATACCTGGGTAGTGAGGAGGTAAACTGTATCCATCATACACCTGCCCTCCATAGTAAGCACCATTCCACCGCTTGCCACGTTCAGCTCTTGACTGTCAAAAACAGCAAAAGATCGACAAGAGTAAATGATTTGACCTGTGATTTAGTTCACATTTAGATGAAGGATAAAATCCTACAGGTTTTTGCTACACCAAATAACCAATCAGACACAAGCCAACCTCAGCTAACATCCTCCATTTGCTCCTCAACAGAAGGGGCTTTTAGCCATCCAATTGCTAAATAAAGGTTTTATTTGGAAAATTGCAGGGACATCCACCAGCATCAAACTGCTCTGCCATGCTAGAGGAATTAAGAGTGGCAGAGTGGAAGGAACAAAGGAGATGAGGAGCAACATCCGTTTCTTTCTAATGTTGCTGGACTGAAATAAACCAGGATAAATGCCATCCAACACAGAGTGGACGACAACAAGGCCAGTAAGACATCAGAGGTAACAAGCATATCCCTAGTAGGAAGATGGGGGGATAAAGTTTTAGCTGAGAGGTGGAAATGGAGAACAAGAAAACTGCAATCACTAAATGTTGATTATCAAATAACAAGAAACATCCTGACTGGTTAGCCAGATACCCATTAAACCTAATCCACTGATCAAAAGATTAAAGGCTGAGAATCTCTACTTTGATAATAATAATAATAATAATAATAATGAGAGAATTCTCGTGCATTCTCAAGCTCCAACACTTTTGTGGGTTGTAAATTTTTTCTTCAAAACTTCTGTAAAGCCAAATGTAGGTAGGCACTGTAATATATACACCTCACACCAGGACAACTTGCTTAGTACAAGATTGTATAAAAATGGAATATGCATAGTGAAAGCATCCCGCATCCCTTTTTTTTTATCTCTCTACCTCTATCGATGATTTAAAAACACTAGTCAGCTTAAGACCAGTTAAAATGAACACTACTGACATCCTTATTGCCAATTTGGGTCCTAGTAGTTATATGACAATTGCTGCTCATTTTAACCATCCCCAAGCTCTATAGACAGAGCCCTATAGAGCCCACAACAATCTGGAAGGTTCAGTTCCGTTTGTGCAAACTCCATGGTTTTGATAATCTAAATTTAGTCTCAATCTAGAGAATTTTATGGCTGATAAAAAATATGACTGAAATTCTATTAACCATGATCCAAATTGGAAGGGTTTTGGCAGCATAGGAAATTAAGCTTGTCTATGATAATTTCAGCAGCCAGGCAGCCAGGCAGAGCCATATCTTCTGTTCATTTACAAAGGCAGAGCCATATCTTAACCTCAGAAGACTTCCTAAAAGACTCATTTACAGATTAAACCTCAATAATCGGAAGACTAATGTCCCTTGCAGGATAAAAAAAAAAACCAAATGCTTGAAATTGTACATCTAGGAGTCAGTACCTGCTTTTTTGCAGGGTTGCGACCCCAAGACAGGCGCACTGTTTGCTTGCCAATGATTGTACCATTTAACTGTTGCATTGCTTCTTCAGCATTATTTCTGCATGGTTAACAAAACACATATATACAGCACTATAATCTATCTACTATAAACTTCAGAATAAGATAACTGCTATGTTTCACTTCAAGTATAATGTTCAGAAAAACACTAACAAAATGTACCTGTGAACAAAAAGCACAAAACCACATTGCTTTCCGACAGGAATTTTAACGGAGGCAACCTCACCATAGCGAGAAAAAGCTTCCTTAAGATCATCTTCATTGACATCTGGATCAAGCCCTCCAACAAATACCTTCAGCAGAAAACATATTATTAAAGGGCAGTATAAATACAGGATACCTCTATAAACACGTACAGACAAAATGTCCTTACTGTTGTATTAGCTGAATCCATGTCTGTTTGGGAGCCTGCTGCAGATGCACCATTTGGCCCAAAACCACCTAATAAATGCATGGTTTAGACTTGCAAGGGCAATCGTTTAGGGTAAAAAAACTAGGATCTAAAATGAAGAAATATAAAAAATATAGACGACTACAGTGGACCTTTGCAAATTGAACCCAGGTGTACATAACTGACAAAACACAAAACTGAGAGTGGATAAATACTGCCACTGTGTACGGATAAGATGAAGCATTTGTCTCAAATTATATTCAAGATTGAGAGCCATCTACCAGTGCGACTAAGCCAGCAGAATTAAGTGAAACTCAAGATTAAGGTCAACCATAATCTTTACATCTATGTTTGAATATTATAGAGTTTTTTCTTATTTAGAATTATATCATGTTTCATAACTATTCTAATGTACTATCATAAAAAATGCATGCTGAGTCCTCTTTGAATTTGCTAGAGTCCAAATTGGAGTAGAAATGCCCCCACAAGACCAAGCCTTTCAACAAGGACAGGGCATGTCTGCCTAAAATGCTTCCTTTCTGAAACCATGGAATACTCCATTCTGAAACAAAGACCGGACATAACTCCCTGTCCCCATTTGATACACTAAAATAGAGTATACGGAACACTTTCTGAGTGTAAACAACAAAGATCCTGCATAAGAGGAACCTATTCCTACTCATTAGTCTTATGGTAATTCCTGTTCATACCATGCAATAACAATGTCGCCCATTCCTGATTTGATCCTATAACCTGAATCAAAACTATTTTATAAAGTATTCTTCATGGCAGAAAATAACATGCATGTTCCCACATGATTTCTCCTCTTGTTCACCACCATTAACTGGTGGGTTCAACTAGGACTCCTCTCCACTTCTTGCTATCCTTCTCTTCTTTCTCCTTTTCTTCTCGTCCTGGATTAATCATCTTAAACCCTGGTCCAATCACAATGACAGAAGCAGGTTGTTTTTATCCACTAAAAGTCTTATCACCAATGGTTGGATCTCAAATTTAAGATACCCCAAAACGAAAGTGAAAAAAAATCAATAATCAAACTGAAGCCCTTCCTGGATGAAGCTCCAACATGGTTTGTATTATAGTTCCATGAACTATTTAAATGTGCATAGTAACTTCCACTTTAACTTTCCATGATGATAGCACAATAGATCATTGCATCTTGAGATAAATTTCCTGAATAGAACTGCACCAGACACTAAGTTTTTGTTGGATTTATTTTTAATGTCCAACATAATTGCTCGTTCCTTTAACTGGTCGACCACGGCCATAGGGTGGACACAAAACCCAACCATCCTCTAGAGGGAAAAGCATAAATATATTCCAACATGAAAGCAATAAAAAGCAGAAAAGAATAACAAGAAGATTGGGCCCAGAAGATTTTGCATTCACCAAATTGGACACAACGAATTTTTGCTTACAATCAAATGTAACAAACAAAGAATATCCACAAAAAATAAGACTCAAGTATAGAGAATATTAAGCTATGAAGACAATTTATGCAGAATGGTTCAGAAGTAGATCACAAAAGAAGACCTATTGCAGCATGCATCATCAGAGATAATCTGTGGAACACATTGGAACATTCTAGCATCTCAAGGCATTATCCATGCTGCATAAATAATTAGATTGACATCAGAAGATCTGAAGATTCAGAACTTTCTTCATACTAGAGAAATTTTATAGTGATCAGGACTAACTGAATCAAGAAAGTATCATGTTAGCACCAGCTAAGAATGACCTAAGCTGTGGGCCAACTTTGTAAAATGATCAACTTAGAAAAGAGATGACAATGATGGGACAAAAAGATAAACACATACCAGAAAACCTTTTAGGTGTAGCAAGGCCAACCCGCATAGGCCTCGTGGAACAATAAACACCATTCATCTCAGTGATGGCAAGTTTCTTCTCATTTTCATCCCCAAATCTTACAAACCCATAACCTTTTGAACGGCCAGTATGTGCATCCACAACCACTTTTGCTCCTTTTACTGATGAGTATTTAGTAACAAATGTTTCTTGCAAAATCGTATCAGTAACATCAGAAGCTAAATCACCTACAAAAATGGAGTGATCAGAAGCAAGATCCGAGTGTTTATCACCCATACTAAATGATGCCCAATTTAACCGATATGGATGATTAGTGTTTGGCATTAAATGGCTGCCGAAGCTCTGAAGTATGTTTTCAGCTGTCGCATGTGAATGAAACTCAACAAACCCATAACCCTCTGATTGTCCTGTCTGCTTATTGCGAATCACCTTTATAGAGACAACCTGTGTATCAAAACAAATGTACAGATATACATATCAGGTTAGTTTCAAGTGTGTGTTCATACAACAATATCAGGTTACTTTTATAGAGACAAACTGTGTATCAAAACACATGTACAGATATACATATCAGGTTAGTTTCAAGTCTGTGGTCATACAACAATATAAGGTTACCTTCTAGTCTCCTACACATGCAACAAATCATAACTCAAAATATGATAAGTACAAGCATCTACTTTTCAAAATGAAATTAACCATTCTTTAGTTTGTGCATACTTAATGACTGATCATCAGATTAGTGCCAATACCACGACCACAATAGACTAGAATTGCAAGAGAGAAGGAAAAACTTAATGGACCCCGAGAAGGATAGGTGCATCCAACTGATATTGGCTGATTCCAACCATTTTCAGCAAAAGCAAAGGTGGGTTAAAATATTGGGAAGAATAACGTGGGTATGGCCAATTCAAGACCAGATCTTCCAATCCAGATCTATCCTTCAGACCTTGAATGAAGTACCTAGACAACAAGAGGCAAGTTAAGCAAGGCTATAGGCAAAATTATGGTAAGATTTGGAGCGAGGCAAGCCAAAGAAGGTTGGTTTCCATGGTGTCTCAGATAGCATCAAAATAGGACTAGGTGCAAATAAGGATCATAACAATGTAATACTGTTAATAAAATACACATGCGTTTTAACCTTTCCTACTTAATGCATGTGACTTTGTCAAGTTTTAGCCTTTACCACTGATACTTGGTCCGTTTGCATAATTGACAAGACACATGAGTGGCATAAGTGGGGATGATGCTCAATCCTTATAATTTAAGCAAACAAATCTAAGAAGGAAGCAGTTATTGTGTTCCTTAAGTACAAAAAAAAGCCAGAGAACAGTCGTAAAAGAAATTGCATATCCCTAAGCTTCGGATGCATGTAGAAATTGTCCGAAGTAAAGCATATCCACAATGTTGCATATATTTCCTGAGGAAAAGATGCCATGCAAATAAGACAATAATAATAATAATCAATCTATAAATATTGGGGAGGCAACAGATTATTTGTCTTCACAATGTTAGCTGGTCAACAAAGGCCACTTTTCTTGAAAGCAATCTCCTTAATTTGAAGTATAAGAAGAAGTTCTATCCCACCAACGGAATGGACAGTCATTTACAGATTAGAATGCTTTTATAAACCAATTATTCCCTAAGTAAAATTTCCCAAAAAATATATATAACAACAGTTGAGATTAAATTTCGCAATGGTATGTTTAAAATGTAGCTTTTATAGTCTTAATTTCTAACATAAATGATAAAATTATCCACATCTCATGCAGATATAAACTAAAAGGAATCATTATCATTTTGTTCATGCATCCGGCGACCTATAAACTCAAACATCCATATGTACTCCAAGCATATATATATAGCAAACGGAAGGATTCAGGAAGACCCAATTCATATTTAAGAAAGAGAAGAATCTTCTCATCAATTAGGAAGAACGACAACATCTGGCGGGGGAAGTTTAAACCCTGACCTCACCACTGTGGCCGAAGCAACTGTGGAGGTAGTTCTCGTCCATCCAGTAGTGGAGATCCCCTACCCAGATCGTCCGCTTCTCGTCCTCCGCAGCGGCGTCCACGGCCTGATGGAGGCGGATCGATTTCAACGGCGGCGGCGGGGGAGGAGGCGTGGGGGTCTGGTGGTAGGCCACGAAGGGGTGCCCATACGGTGGCGGCGCCATCATCGGGTGCTGCATCACCATCGCTGGCGCCGGGTACCGCACAGCGGCCCAGGGCTGGGGCGGCGGGGTGCGCCGCGGATCTACGCCAGCCACCGGTTGCATCTTCGCCGTCGCCGCCGCTACGATGAAGTCGGCGAGCGAGGCACGCGGAGCCACACAGAGCGATGCCGAGGAGGGGGGGTCGCGTGGCGGCGGCGAAGGGTTTAAATAGGGACGCGGCTTCGAAACGATGTTTGATGCTGGCCGTCAGATCATGATGCAGCTTGGCGCGATCATCGTTAATTGCTAGGGGGAGGCCCCAGGGCGGCGGGTTTGGGATTGGACCAGATCCGAGTTTGTGCCGGACCGTGACAAACCAACTCTGTACCGGTTTATTACAACATGTCGGTTCCGGTTTAATCAACACCGATCTTGTACTAATGGGCCGGGCTATCATAGCCCATACATTGAGGTTAAGGGATGCAGTGGAAGCCCAATTAACTTATTGAGTAAAGATATAAATTGACATGAATATTTAATGTGTTACTATTATTAATTTAGACTAAGAATATTTTTAGTTTAGACTTTAAAAAAATTAGTATATTAGCTATCATATTGGGTTTGGTCATGACAAATGATATCGAAAATGATCTATTATTAGAGATGAGGAGGGACTTGGATCTTATATACATCATAGGTTATGTTCCGGAGTCATAAGGTTAGATATATCAATTCAAACTTTACATCGGTTAAAGTCCTGAGTTTAGGTTTTTCTTTTACCTGTGATAAGTAGTTCTTTATGATTTAGATGCACAGTTCGTATTAATCATACACCTGATTAAATGATTCGGTATGATTCAAAAAGGATCATATGATGCCGATCAATGTCATTTGGCAGGCAGAAGGAACCAACTTTCCTTAACTAATGTCATATTTAATGGAGTCTTCAATCTCCTAAGATTCGGATGGCATCGGAAGATTCGGATCCAAAAGCTAGTCAATCATTCAGATACGAGAGATCTCCAAAAGATTCCACGGCCCAAACAAGCATGTACTGATAAACACTAATAATCTTATCAAGATTTGGAACCTTTGGAGTGTATTGCTTCCGTACTCACCACCTGTTCTTGATAACATAGAGTAGTATGCAAAGGCCATTAGAGCATCAGAAAGCAGCGGAGTCTCCTCCTGCATTTGACCTGCGTCTTGTGATTCTAAAGCACTTGTGCTTGGCAACAATGAAGGTGGGGAGACCGGCTTTCTGCAAGCCCATGATCGCCTCACCTCACCATGGCTTTGTGAGCTGTAGAAAGTTGTCTGATACCCTTCAAATATATCTCAGACTGCATTTAACTTATCAGTTGTCATTTTGAACTCCAAGTCCATTGTTTCTATGCTAGAAAAGAAGGTTTGAAATTGGAGGAACACAAAGTTCATGTAGATTGTCTTTCTTTTTATATTTTCTGATTGGTTAGGTTAAAATTTATGACTTGTTTCAAAAGAACATTCAGAGATATCATACAAGAGCTACCCTTAGCTTCAGAGGATAATATCAGACACTAGTTCTTGAAGTTCTTATAAGGAAAAAATATATATATTTCTAATTAGTTAATGGAAAGAGAAAGTGTGCAGTTTAGATGGAAATAAATCAATAGTAAATACAAATCAAACAAAAATCACAGAACAGTGAAGTCTCCTTTTCATTTAAGGGAACATTATTAAGGGCAAAAGCTGAATGAAACACAAAGAAAAGCTAATCAACACCACGAGGGAAAGACTACAGACACCCAACACATGCATGCAGAAACGTATACACGATGGGGGAGAGAAGCATTCATCTGCATGCTCTTCAGCCACATTGTTTGGACGTGGAACCTTCTTTTATATAGAAGAGGTAGAGATGCATCGCCTTCTCTCCGTTTACGAGAAGCAGATGCCGGCAGCAACAAAGAGTTCTTTTCATTTTGTTTGGGATCACAGTCTAACAACAACAAAGATTCGATCGAATGTGATCACACGCTCTTGCCGACAACCTTGTCGTGAAGAGCATGGCCGATACCGGGACTGTGACCTGGAGTTGTTGGACGAACATCTTTATTCTCCATTGAAGAGGGCGCATGCGCTTCAACTTCGACAGGGGGCGACGCAGCCATGACTTGTACTGGCAGTAGTGTTTCTTTTCTGCGACTGTCACCTTGAATTAAGCATCTCCTGCACCCTCTGGTCTTGTCGTCCAGCAAATAGCTTGCCTCAATAGTAGGAGTTACAGTGGTAAAGATCACCAGAATAAGAAGAGCAGCAATGCAGCACTTGTTTGCATCCATGGGAGAGCTAGAGAGAGAGAGAGAGAGAGAGAGAGAAAGAAACAACGGGTGTGGAAGATTCTGCTCTCCGCTCCTCTCATTTCTCACAACTATTTATAGTGGTATTAAGCATTAAACAAGAAGTGGACGATGCATTACTCTATAAGTATACAAAGCTCGTTGAAGGAGCACACTATGCTTCTCTCTTTGCGCTTCCTCCTTTTCTTTTCTTTGTTAGGGCCACCATGATGAACAAGAGTACTCCTTAAACAGTTCATCTTGTAGTCCAAGAGCACAATAAATGTGAGATAAGACCGCGAACGAGGATCATTAAACCAAAAGGATTGAGAAGGTAGTGATGAGGGCAATAACGGCAATGGGACGTGGGTTAACATCAGCTGCGCCCGGATGATGCCTCACGCCTCGATTGGTCTAACAGCGCCTGGCCAAAACAGATCGAAATGTCGACCGAGGCACATTAACATCCTACGCGAGCCCGATCCTTCATGTCATGCCAACACCGGTATCAGACGTTACCAGGAGTACGATCCTGCTCCCTGCAAGCGGGCACATCAGGCAACGGTAACCTTCCCTATAAAAACCCTCGCGCTCAGGAGGAGGAGGAGGGAAAAACAAGGACAAAAACCCCCTATGACTATCAACTGACTTGATCATCGAAGCGGTTGGGTCGAGCTTCCCGACCCGACCTGTGTGCAGGGATGAAGACGAAGCGCCTCCCACCGCGTGCCTAGGCAAGGAGTTCCCTTCCAAAGGAAACGGTCGTCCCGTCGCGATCGGACCACCGCAGTCGGCCACCTCAGCGATCTCAAGGGTCGCTCAGGAAGATCCCCAATCATTTGGACTCGAACCCAGCCATGTTGGCCCCGAGGCCATGGCTTAAAGTTGTTGACACCAACATTTTTGGCGCTAGAAGGAGGGCTCGAATGTCGAGGGATCGGCAGATCGACCCGCACGAACCCACAGCTGAGGGGTCTCGCCTGATCGGGGCTCCCAGGGAACGCCCCCCGCATGGCGAACCTCGAGATGAACACCCTGCCACGACCTCAGAGTGCTATTAGCGGATATTCAACAACCCGGGCTTGTCGCCACCCGACGGTGCCCTAGCCGACCCGTCGCCCGTGTCGTCCGAGGCCTTTCAGGACCTCGCTCATCAAGTCTGAGCTCTAACGAGTATGGTGCAATCCATTATCTCACTCGTTTCTCGTCTGATGCACCCGCCTGCGATCCAACCGCTGTGGCAACAAGAGCCACCCGTTCAGGCTCACATGCCACCTCCGGAGCTCCCCACTTCGCCTCGGGTCCGATCGGCCCCACTCGGGGACCGGGTGATGGCAAACCCAAGCGGGCACCCGGAACTCGAGGCATTATCTTCAGATTCAATGGACTCCCTGTGAGCCCAATTACGCTTTGTTAGTCAGCGGCTCGACAAAGTGCAGAAGGAGGTTCGCAGGTCAAAGGGAGAGCTCAAGGAGGACGCACACCAAGGGTCTCCGTTCGCGCTTGAGATACAAGATCAGGCAGTCCCCCCAAACTTCCGCCTCCCCTCTCTCGACGCGTACGACGGCGCCACCAACCCAACGGACCATGTAGCTGCCTTCCGTGCCCAAATGGCGCTTTACGGAACATCAGACGCCATGATGTGCAGGGCATTCCCCACGACTCTGAGGGGGCCAGCCCGTGCATGGTATAGTAGTCTGAAGCCCGGGGCGATCACTTCCTTCGATTAGCTCGCCAGGGACTTTGAGCTTAACTTCCTAGCCTACGCCCGGCTGGAGCCATCCGTTGCATTGCTCCTCGGACTCAACCAAAGGGAGGACGAGCCCCTCTCACATTTTGTAGATCACTTTGCCATGCAAATCCGAGGTTTGTCGGACGCTCATCCCTCTCTGTTAATGTAGGCGTTTATGATAGGCCTACGACCTTCCAGATTTTCCTGGTCCATCGCAGAGCGACCCCCCACCGCAGTACCGGAGATGCTCCAGCGAGCTAACCAGTACATCGCGGCGAAGGCCTGGATGGCCGTGAGGAGGTGGAGCGACTTTTAGCAGTGGGCTTCATAGAAGAGGAGGGCGCCCGAGGACCAAGAGCACACGACCTTCCTCACCAAACAAACTCCCCAAGTCTGAGTCATGCTCCTTGGCTGCATGTTGCCTGAGGCCACCTTTGCTCGGCCTGCCCGACTAAGTCGTGCTCCTCGACTGCATGTTGCCCGAGACCACCACTACGCGTCCTGCCCGCCTGAGTCTTGCTCCTCGGCTGCGTGTTGCCTGAGACCACCTCTGCGCGGCCTACCTGCCTGAGTCGTGCTCCTCGGCTACACGCTGCCCGAGACCATCTCTACGCGACCTGCCAGCAGCCTGCCCGCCTGAGTCGTGCTCCTCGGCTACATGTTTCCCGAGACCACCTCTGCTTGGCCTGCCCGACTGAGTCGTGCTCCTCGGTTGCATTTTGCCCGAGACCACCGTTGCACGGCCAGCCCTCCTCGATTGCTAAACTCCACGATTCCTACACCCCTGGTAACAGATCGACTACCGACCAATAGGAACATTTTCTTAAAGCTGAAGTCATGCCTCGGACCTCCCTTACAACAACCGACGCATAGCTTTCTTCGGGGGGGGGGGGGGGGGGGGGATATGATGAGGGCAATAATGGCGATGGGACGCGGGCTAACGTCAACTGCGCTCGGATGATGCCTCGCGCCTCGGTTGACCTGACAGCACCTGGCCAAAACAGATCGGAACGCCGATCGAGGCACATTAACATCCCGCACGAGCCCGGTCTTTCACGCCACGGCAACACCGGTGTCAGACGTTACCAGGAGTACGATCCTACTCCCTGCAAGCGGGCACATCAGGCAACGATAACCTTCCCTATAAAAACCC